TTTTTGGAAACATTTTATCATAATTTTTTTAATTAATTTAAATAATAGCAGAATAAATGATTCATTTAAATTATAACCCATATGTTTAAAAATCAATAAAAAATAATTAAAAGTGAATAAAATTTAATAAAAAAATGTAAAGTTAAAAAAATATTACATCTTTATTTAAAATATTCTTTCTAATATAAATTTTAAAAAATATAAAATAAATGTTATTTTCTAATTTTATTAAAAATGAATAAACATTATTAACTATTGTTAAAAAAATAATTAATGAATAATAATTCATTTGATCCCTCAATTATAATTAAAATTTTATTTTAATATTTTTTATATTTTTAAATAATTAATTTTAAAAGTAATAAATTTTTCAAAAATATATAAAATTTATATTTTTTTAAATTATAAAATATTTCTTATCATCATCATCATTTTGTAAAAGAAATACTAATTATAAAACTTTTATAAAAATATTCATATTTTAAATTATTTACCCTCAAAATTTTCCTATACTAGATTATATGTATTATGTAATTTCATGCAAAATTAAAATTTGTCGAGTTTTAAAATAATTTGAAAAATAATATTTAAAGATTTTAATGTATAATTTTTTTTTTCACACACAAAAAAAATAAATAAAGTTGACGTTGTCACACAAATGTCACATTAATAAAAATTAATTTCATATTGAGCATCATTTTAAAAATATTTATAAAATTAGCCCTCAACTTTTACACGTGACATCAGACGTGGTGCATGGGTCGTGCCTTTTAACACGTGACGTCATATCAGCACGTGACGTCACATCAACTTAAAGCACGATGCATATTTCTGCAAAAGATGTTAGATCGAAAAATAGCCTAAATAAGTGTCTGACAGGAAAATAAAAACATGTTATGTGATATTTGGGAAAAAATGCCCGAATAATCTATCGATTTAATATTTTCTTTTTTACTCGATACGGCTAATCATATTGATTTAATATGTTCTTTTGATTGTGACCTATATACCTTCCAATTTCCGGCTTTAATTAATACTGTAAATAATAGAAAAAGTAATACCCTTAAATGTGTCGTCAAAACCTGTCCACATATCCCACAAAAATTTGCTCCACAATAAAATATTATTATTTTTAACAATTTACTTGGGAGAAGAAAAATGAGAATTTTATTTTTAGTGTGCATTGAGTTCACATTCTAGAAGAAACGAGAGATGTTAACTAATTTTTTAACCATTTATTCCGTAAATTATTGATAAATATTAAAATATTTATATATAATACATTAGTATATAAGTATATCCATCAAATAAATAGTTTATGTATTAAAATAAAAATTATCATTTGATGTATCGGTGTTTTTTTTGAAAAATCACCGGTAACCGATATATTTACAGATTTAACATCGGTCAGATTATATTTCTCGATCTAACATCCTTAGCAGTAAAACGTGCCCCCTGCATCATGCTATATGTTGATTTGGCGCCACGTAGGGTAAGACGCGCCCCCTGAAGCGCGTCTTATGCTGACATAGATACACGTGGATAAAACGCGGGGTAGGTGTGTAATTACACCTATGGCGCGGGGCAGGGGCCGCGCTTTCCCTGTGAATCTGACACGCGTCAGGAAGGCGCGCCTTAGGTGTAATTACACAACTACCCCGACTTCAATACCCCAAACCTCTCTATAAATACCTCCATCATCAATCACTTTCATCACAACAAATTCTCTCAACTTCTCTCAAATACTCTTATAATCTCTTCTAAGGTATATTTTATTATATTTTTAATATTTTGTATTTAATTTATTTAATATTTTACTTATTTAATTTTTTTGCAGATATAAAATGGCAGACGATCTACTTCGCTTGGATGCAAATTATATATCTCGACACTTTGCTGATACGGTAACATTTTAACGTTTTAATTTAATTTAAATTATTAATAATAATTTATTGATTTATTTAATGCATAATTATTAGATTAAGAATTAGTTTTTGTAATTATTTAATTTTAGGAGAAGGACCGTGTATTAGATCCTTTTATTAGGAATCTTAAGTTAGTGATACCTAGCTGTGTCTTGCCGTATTTAGTAGAGGCTGGATTCGGTTATATAGGTAGATATCAGAGTCACTGTAAGATAGAGCCAGACTTGATTTCTGCCTTAGTAGAGCGGCGGAGGCTGGAGACCCACACATTCCATCTTCCGTGCGGAGAGTGCACGATTACACTTAAGGATGTTTCTATGCACCTGGGGCTTTCGCTGGATGGAGATGTGATATCGGGGATCGCGCATGGTTCATGGACTGCTTTGTGTCGGGATAATCTAGGACGTGTCCCGGAAAATTTTAACGGTGGTCGGATACCGTTAAATTGGTTAGATGCCAATTTTCGTCATTTGAGCGAGGACGCGTTTGAGGATGAAGTTAAAATGTATGCACGAGCATGCATACTGCAGCTGATAGGAGGGTTGTTGATGCCGGATAAATTGCGCAACCAAGTTCACTGCAAGTGGTTGCGACACCTTGGCGACTTTCATCTGGCCAGATCACTCAGTTGGGGCTCGGCAGCTTTGGCTTTCCTGTACAGAGAGATGTGTCGAGCCACTGACTACAAGCGTAATGCTATCGGCCGATGTCTCATGTTGTTGCAGTCTTGGGCATGGTATCGATTGCCCTTTTTATGTCCCGTTGTCAAGAACTCATTCGTATTTCCACTACTATTGAAGTAATTATAAAACTGATTTCGTATATTAATCATTTTATACAACGTATAATAATTTTTTTCCTCGAATAAGTGGTCTACTGATAGGAAAAATAATCAGGAGCTACCTGATGATTTAGAAAAAATTAGGGTTCTCATCGATCAGCAGGCTGGCACACATATATGAATTTTAATTTTAAAAATCGATTTTAGATTATAGTTTATAATTAGATTATTATTTTAATAAAAATTATATATATTTGTTTTAGTTTGAATGGGTGTCATATTCTACTGATGGTGTGAGGGCGGTGATCCCACCTGAGTTGAGGGGCCCATCAGATGTTTGGATGGCGATGGTCCCCTTGATCTGTTATGCGACCGTTGAGTGACACTCCACTGATCGCGTGCTCCGGTAATTTGGTTGTTTTCAACCAATTCCGGAAGTACCTCGCAATATGGACGAGTTGCATAACACATATAGACGCGGCAAGACAGATACATATTGGCTGGTGAGGCATCATGTGTGGGTCGTGTTGTGGGAGGATCGACATCGGCGCCTTCCCCATAGAGAGCCCATTTTACTTGACCTCTTGATGGTTGCTGACGGTTATTACGAGTGGTTCAACAGTAACGGGAAACCATTTTTGCTTCCCGAGGATGCACGAGGGCAGACCTTTCTGCGACATCGACAGAGACGTTCACCGACACAGCACCATCATCCCCGACTCGTGGACGGAGAGCAGGTGCTTTCGGTTCATCCTCAGCTACACCAACAGGACCTTCACAACAGCCACCACAACCATATATGATTTCCTGTACCGTAAAACTATTTCGACGTATATTCCCGCTTTCTAATTTTACAAACACATAAATTAATTGACAAAAATTAGTATAATATTTTTTCAAATAATTATAATAAACAATAAATATAATAAAATAATTATCACAAAATTACCTTATAAAGAAAAATTGAACGAGCTTCTGAATAAAATATGATAAAATTTTCAAAATTATTGACTCGTTGACGGAATTGTTGTATTAATTTATAAGTTTAGAGGAGAGATATGAGGAGATGTGAGAAACTTAATCGGGGAGAAGGGTATTTATAGCCGAGAAAAGTAACAAGGCGCGGTACCTGCACCGCGCCATATATAATTATATCAGTTAAATGTATGACGTAGCCCCTGCCCCGCGCTATACCCCTACGTGGCGTAAGGCGCGCCCTAGGGGCCGCGCTTTATCCACGTGTATCTATGTCAGCATAAGGCGCGCTTCAGGGGGCGCGCCTTACCCCACGTGACGCCAAATCAACATATCGCGCGATACAGGGGGTGCGCTTTACTGCTAAGGGTGTTAGATCGGGAAATATAGTTTGACCGATGTTAGATCGATAAATATACCTGTCACTGGTGATTTTTCAGGAAAAACGCTTGACGTATCATAAAAAAATAATTTTTAAGTATCTTTAAAATGACAACAATTTTGTTTTTTATTTCTCTTAAAGTTTAAATATATATATTTTAAAATATCATTTTTTAAGAAATTTTGTGAAATTAAATTTTTGTGTAGATAATATACTAAATAATTGTTCTTAAAATAGTAATAGGTATTTATTTTCTAAAATTTAAAGAAATTTAATTGTTAACAATTTTTTAAAATTATCTAAATACTTAGCAAATTGATTTTTTTAAATTTTATGATGATTTTACACGTATCAAGTTATCTCAATAGTTAAAGAGATCATTGTTATATTTTGAGGTCTAAGGTTTGAACATTATGTTTGCAATGGTGTATAAGGGTTCATTATCAAATAACTGAAAGTATTTCAAACATATACTATTTTATAATCACATCAAATTAATAAGAAAAATATTAAGATAGTTTTTATTCTAGAACTTAGAAAGAATAATTTTGTAAATTTTTTATATCATTTTTATTTATTTATTTTTAAAGATAATGTGACATTATCTTATAGTGACACATAAATATCATCAATAATATTTTATGATAGATGACCAAAACATAACGTTATATCGTTACATATAATTTTAAAAAAAATATATAATTAGACGATCTTAATAAAACCGCGTGAAGAATGACTAAATACGTAATTTATCTTAAAAATTAAATATCATGTATTTTTATTGAATTATAAGAGAAATATCAATAGAATTATTTTTTAAAAAAAATAAATACTATATTTATAGTTTGATAATTCAAATTATTTTTTAAAAACTGTTATCACTTGTTGTAATTTATAAATTTTATTTTTTTAGGTTACTCATTCGTTAGTTGTATAAGAAGAGTACCGAGACATTTTATGAAATTAATCTAATATTTTATCATTCTTCACTACTATTCGACTATTGTCGACTGTTGTTTCTGATATAACTACTGTCAAAATGATATACTTTTCCCTCTTTGTTTTTTAATTTGATTATCCTCAAAATAGATACAATTTAAATAAATATTTACAAATACTTGATACATATATATTAATACAAGTGATCTTTAACCAAATGTACATGTGATTATATATATATTATCTTAATGTAATACGATAAAAAAAGGACTTAAAATGTGAGATCCAAAAACATATTTTTCGATAATAATGGTTTTAAGTATTTTTTGATTCGACCCCTTAAATCTTGTAATAACATCTCATTACAGATAAAAATGCACTTTATAGAAAGTTTAACGCTTGAAATAAAATATATTTGAGCTCGAAGCTAGATTTAATCGAGATTTATATGACTTCAAACAAATATTTTGAAGGTTTTATAGAACAAGAAACAACAAATTCCACTTTTAGGATATAATCCTTTTTACTATGGATGTTGTTTTTTTGGATAAGTCAGATTTTATTATCCAAATAACACAGTCAAATACAAAATTACAATCACGGATCCAAAACAAAAAACAAATACTTACAAAATAATCAATGATATTCTATACCCCAATGATTGCATATAGTAATATTAACATCATCTATTCTATTGAAATTTCCCCCCTAAGTTGCAGACTAACAATATCTTTAATGGCCTTTATAATTGCTTCTGTAGACTTTACTCGGCTTTGGAACACCCTTTTGTTTCTCTCTTCCCAAATCATGTAAATGATGGCATTGAGAGCTAACTTCATGACCACCGTGAGTAATGATTTGCCTTTCCACATAGAGCAGGCCCGTGCCATGAAGATCTCCCAGGAACATATCGGAAATTGTAAACCAAACAGTGAAAAGATTGTTTTCCAAATTGTGACAACAATAGGGTATTTGAAAAAAAGATGCTCCCTAGTTTCCAGATCAGAATTGTAGAGAACACAATGGCTTTCGTTGATGAGTCCTATACGCAGCAGTCTGTCCTTTGTTGGGAGCTTATCAAGGAAAGCCATCCAAGTTATCAGGCTGTGTTTGGGAATATGCAGGGGAAACCATAGCAGTTTTTGCCAAGGGACTTTAGCCTTCTTTTCCCGAAGTGAGTCCCATATTTTACTGACATTATTAGCAGTTGGAGTAAGAACTTGGTGAGCCTCGAGTCTGAGTTGAAGGAGTTTTGTAACACCCCAACCCGTACCCGACCCGGATACGAGTCCGAGATGTCACATTGACTTTTCAAAACATTTACTTGTATAAAATAGTGAGTAATTTAAAACTTTTATACATGTAACTTATTCAAAAGATTTCCAGAACTATTCAGAGCTTAAATGTTTTTGCAAAACCAATCATAGTATATACAATTCAAAACATTAATTACATGCCAACTATTTTCAATATACAAAATACATCTAATTCAAGACATCTTTTCTGATCTGATCTTCGGTAAGAAGTAACTGACCGGTCTTGCTCCTCTTCACTTTTCTTCTAGCTTTCCGGAACCTACGTGTGAAACACTCACACACTAAGTTGATGACTTAGTGAGGCATAAAGAAAACACATCTAATGGAATTCATGCCCACTAATCATGCATGATTGTTTTATGCTATCAAATTATACAACTCATTTACATATACATCAACATATATTCATGTATATTATGTAACATATACCATAACCCTTATCACACATATATCATATCATGCAATTCATATCACACATCATATACATATATCACATACATTGTTCTCATATCACCAACCTGTTTATCCTTACTAATTCCCTTGTCATTACTTCAATTCCTTCATATGAGCATATAATGAATATAAACATATTATATATTTTAATATGCCACAATACGTTACTAATTTCTATAATTATATAATACATAAACGCATAGCATCTCATATCACCATGACATATATGCACTTCTACCATGTCAAGAGAAATACACATATCATTATATCAAATTATGTTCTCTTTTCAAAGCCCATGTACACATGTGAGAACTATAGATATGTGAGTCTATGGAGGTTGTGCACTATGCTGTCACCACAGCTCGTATAATTGCACCGAAGTGCCACGTAGAATTACACCGGAGTGCCGCGTAGAATTGCACCGTAGTGCCATATAATAATGTCCATAAGGACCACATATCATTCCTTAATAATCATATACATATACTAGGGATCAAGTATGTGTCTCACCAGACTTCACACATGTTCCAAAGAATACATATATGTCCCGAAGGACCACATATCATTCCTTAAGAATCATATACATATGCCAAGGATCAAGTATGTGTCTCACCAGTCTTCACACATGTTCCAAAGAATACATATATGTCCCGAAGGACCGCGTAGACCCTTGACTCTTGGCATGCCAAATATACCCCTAGCTCTCAAGACACATAACATGGGCATTTTCTTTTATACTTATCATTTCACATAACACATAGTTCAATTACTCATAGAACATTTTCATATGAGTCACATTTACATGTCACATAGCTTATATACTTTCTCACGTAGTTACATAGATCCACATCATATAACATATATCCCAAAGTGCATATAATCACATATATCATATCATATAGCTTAGATCATTTCTCAGATATTCATATAAACATACATATCATATCTTGTTCACATATGATCATATATGCTTCATATAACACATAGAAACACTTAGAACACTTTCTCATAGCTTATATCAATTTTCAGAGTCCTTTCATATTACCTGATGACATATATCATATAGATATATAATAACTGATATCATATTATCTACTTTATGCTCCATTTCTTTGTATTCCCTTAGATTATAAATTATGTCGTATTTCTAAACATATATCATTTAATAGTGTTTTTATTTAGGTACTAATTTAATCTCTTTACTTAATTCAATTTCATATATTCATTATAATCTTTTCATATAGCTCCATTATACTAATCCTCATAATAAATCATACCACTATGTACTTGTCCAACTCATGTTTCCATTATGCATATACTGTTACCCATGTTTACCTAGTTCATATCACTTCTCATAAACTCAATTTCATCATATTTTCCTATTATTACATATTTTATCTCATAACCATGTATTCACATAGTCCTATATTTCATTATCATATTACTTATATTTGTTCTCATATGACTCTTTATAAACATCTATTTCTATTTCCCTACATCTATTTCTATTTCCCTATATCTCTCGACTTATCTTCTATATTCCTATAATTTCATAACTTATTTTATATTCTCTTAATAACACTTAATCGTGTTTTTACATAAACCACATGTCACATACAAAACATATCAATTCAGATAATCAAACATACATACACTCATATTCAACTCATGCCTTTAATCATGAATTCATATGTAACACTTCAGGAAATAGACTCATCGCAAGTCTTATTCCCATCACACACCATATACTATTGAATATGCACTCACCTGGTTTCATTAGTCAATCTCGATCTCTAATCTTTCCCCTGATCAATCTTACTTGCCAAATGTTCCAGAATTGCCTTATGCTCAGAATCTACATAAATGTACATTTTAAGGCAATTATTAGATACGTACACCTTGTAATTGGATACTAGCAACTTAAACGAACTTATTAAACCCATATTCACAATTTTCCTTTAGGGGGAATCGATTCCCTCCTGTTGGGGAATCAGTTCCCCTATGAGATTCTGGAATTTCTGGTTCGTTTGAGGGGGGTATCGATTCCCCATTGAATGGGTACCAATTCCCCATTGAATTGGTACCGATTCCCTTGAATGGGTACTGATTCCCCTTGCCCAGAAATCATATTTTTAGCACGAAATTTACTTCATTTCATCTTAAACACTTCATATTTCAACCTCTTCTATATACTAAACTCAAACACACATACTTAAGCCCATTTGTACTCATTTAATCCATCTTAATTCTCAAAATCCTCTCATCTTAATGAAATTCAAGAATTAAACTCAAATTTCAACATGTTCTAAATTCTTTTCTATCACTCCAAATCTCTTAATTCAACTATTGATAAGTCAAATTCAACTTCAAATTCAACTTATCAACTTTATTTCAAGATTTCATTCAAAAACTCAAAATCTTTAATCTCTCATAATTCCACCATCCTTTGTTTTTAAGATGATTTAAGCTTTCCTTAAGCTTAATTATCATCCAATAATCATAACCAAACCTTTAGTTGAACAAATAATCAACTAATGAAGAAACTTACATTTGCTTATGGCTTCACGGTGGAAAAGAAGAGAAGAAGAGAAGTCTGGAACTCTCTCATATTTCCCACATTTATAATACTCAAAAAGGGAAGATAAAAATCTTTCCCATGAAAAGACCATTTTGCCCCTTTAGTTCATCCATCTTTGTTATTTAATCCAATATTAAAATTCTTTACTTAAATTCCAAGACTTTTAAATTTCATTTCTAAATTGAACACAAAACTTTCAAAATTTGCAATTTAATCACTGACCATGATTTGGGATGTTACAAATCTTCCCTCCTTTAAAGAAAATTCGTCCTCGAATTTTCACTGCATGCCTTTATAATATCACGTCTTCTAATATTTTCATGTTGCTTCCCTTAATATTTCCTGCCACCGCTACAACCTACCATTTTCCCATACTCAATTCTTCATATACGTCCACATCTTTATAAGTCCATATAATATTATTCATTATATAGATAGCAACCCCAAATCCTTAATCCTCACAATTATGGATCAATTGATCTTTTTCATCATTCTCTATGTGCTTTGCACATAAATCAAGTTTTTGCTCATTTTTTAATCCTTGTAAGTATTATTATACACCCAATCTTTTCATATAACCCTTACGTATTTGTTCAAAGAATAATCACCCATTCTCGTTCTTCTAATAATTGAAAATTGTATTATTTCAATATCAACTTATAACTTATATCTCAATAACCACTTCTATGAAACTCGGGGTGCTGGGTCCAATAATTGAAGAATTTAAACGGTTTAGGACGATTAACTTGAGCTTCTTTAGAGAGCCAGACTTGAGCAAGACAATGGTCAGAGGTACCAAGGGCATGGAATTCAACGTGCGAGTCTTTGAGAGATGACACCCATTTAGGGTTAACAAGAACTCTATCGAGTTTCCTTGCAAGGAAGGTGATCTGTTGCTTGTTACTCCATATGTACGTTGGACCAAAAAATGGGTGATCGAAAAGGTCAAGATCAGTGAGTGCTTCTTGTAAATCTCTCATGTCAGAAGTAGATATAGGGCCAATGAGGTCATAGTCCGAACTTTCATTTGAGTGGAGAATAATGTTAATATCTCCACCAATAATCCAGGGAGTGAGGCCAACAGTAGAATGGAGGTCGCGTAAATGCTGCCAGAGAAGTCTTCTGGTAATTACGTCATTGTTGTCGTATACTGCTGAGATGACTATATGAGTGTTCTGGAACATCCCTCAGATAGAAATACACTGGTATGAAGATTTAATTAACGAGAAGTCCAAACCTTTCCTCTAAAGAATCCATATTCTACCATTTAAGGCCTGGTCATAGTTAGTTTCTGCATTCCAGCCATGAAATTTGTTACCTAGGATATTTACAGACTTGTCTTCCTTCACTCTTGTCTCCATCAAACAGAACACGTCAATTTTATTTTGGTTAGCTCTTCTAATAACTATTGCTTGCTTATGAGGACAGTTGAGTCTTCTTACATTCCAAAAAGCTAGGTTCGTTAGGATGGAGTTTCCATTTCCCCTCCACCACCAACTACAAAACACTTTTGGTTATCTTGCTTTTCTTTCTTTTTCGACTTAAGCTCCTTTACTATGGCAGCTACTCCTTTTGAAGATGCACGAGGTTTCTTTTGAATTTCCATTGAAGCAGGAAGAATTTCCTCAGTATCATTAAGAATCTGGAATTTGTTTGAGGAAACTGAAATATCTATTTTTGTTTTCTCTTTGGCAAGCATTCCTCGTTCTTTTTTAGGAATAGTCGAGGAAGATTCACTTTTGTTCTTAACAGTTTCTACATTTGGGTCTGAGCTGGTTTGATCCACTATGGAGAGGGCTTAATGAGCCTCTTTTTTCTCTATGTTTTCCTTTGTTAGATCTTTGACTTGAGAATCATTTGCAATAGAGGCAGTATGATTTTGTTGTTCTTCGATTTGTTCATTCCTTCTTTTGGCAGAATCGTCCTTAGTTGTACTATCTTCATTGGTTTTTCCTGAAGAAAAAGCTACTTTCTCTTGCAGCAATTCAATTACACCAACTAACGTCATTGTTGTCGTATACTGCTGAGATGACTATATGAGTGTTCTGGAACATCCCTCAGATAGAAATACACTGGTATGAAGATTTAATTAACGAGAAGTCCAAACCTTTCCTCTAAAGAATCCATATTCTACCATTTAAGGCCTGGTCATAGTTAGTTTCTGCATTCCAGCCATGAAATTTGTTACCTAGGATATTTACAGACTTGTCTTCCTTCACTCTTGTCTCCATCAAACAGAACACGTCAATTTTATTTTGGTTAGCTCTTCTAATAACTATTGCTTGCTTATGAGGACAGTTGAGTCTTCTTACATTCCAAAAAGCTAGGTTCGTTAGGATGGAGTTTCCATTTCCCCTCCACCACCAACTACAAAACACTTTTGGTTATCTTGCTTTTCTTTCTTTTTCGACTTAAGCTCCTTTACTATGGCAGCTACTCCTTTTGAAGATGCACGAGATTTCTTTTGAATTTCCATTGAAGCAGGAAGAATTTCCTCAGTATCATTAAGAATCTGGAATTTGTTTGAGGAAACTGAAATATCTATTTTTGTTTTCTCTTTGGCAAGCATTCCTCGTTCTTTTTTAGGAATAGTCGAGGAAGATTCACTTTTGTTCTTAACAGTTTCTACATTTGGGTCTGAGCTGGTTTGATCCACTATGGAGAGGGCTTAATGAGCCTCTTTTTTCTCTATGTTTTCCTTTGTTAGATCTTTGACTTGAGAATCATTTGCAATAGAGGCAGTATGATTTTGTTGTTCTTCGATTTGTTCATTCCTTCTTTTGGCAGAATCGTCCTTAGTTGTACTATCTTCATTGGTTTTTCCTGAAGAAAAAGCTACTTTCTCTTGCAGCAATTCAATTACACCAACTAAAGGTTATGTCTCGGCTACACTTGTAGATTTCTCTTTTTTCCTCCAAATTAGATTTTTTGCAGCAACATGGTTTTTAGAATGCATACAACCTTTTTCATTGTGGCCGAAAATTTTACAGTAATTACACAGAGCTGGCATCCTAGGAACTTCGACTGTTATTGAGACCTTTACTCCATCCTTTAGTTCCACTTCAACTTGTTCAGGAACAATGTCATTTGCTCCTACTTCGATACAGAGTTTAGCATATTCCATGTGCATTTTAGAAGCAGTGATAGTGTCCATAGAAAGTGGAATGCCAATTGCACTACCTATGTAGCTGAGTCCTAAGCGAGAATATAACTCAAGGGGAACATTGTAAAGGTGAACCCAGATAGGTAAGCTAGAAAGATCGAAACTTAATTTTTGTAGACTAGGCTCCAATTTTCTTAAAATAAGGGGCTTGTTCAAAACGTGCCAGGGTCCATTTTCAAGGACCCAGTCACGAGCAGTAGCAGAAGAGAATGAGAAAACATATAAATTGTTTCCAGCAATACTCACCTGGACTTGTGCACCCGCCGTAGCATTCCTCCACAAACTGTTAACAATTATTTGCAATGAAGTGAAGCTCGGAGTAGGACCAAGAAATTGTCCCACGAGAGAGAGGTTCTACTCATTAATTCCATAATCAAGCACTTCTTTTGGGGGATGAACCGTTGTGGTACCGTCGCAAACCCTAGAGGGTGAAATTCCAAATTGTTGCCTTCAGAACATCCGAATAACTTTCTCCAATCCATGGGATTTCACGAGGTGAGGCATAAAGGGAGACAAGAGCAGACTGAGCGAAGAGAAGACTCCGTGAAAGAGATGAAAAAAAACACCCAGGAACGCCGGAGATACGACGAAGAACCCTAAAACCGTTAGCCCTACTAACGTACGCCCAAAGAAAACTTATTGTGCGCTAAAGTCCACTTTCTTTTCATCAGTTTACTCTGGACATTGATTAAAACAAAACCGCGTAATAACTTGTCGGGCAAAAGTACCCAGATAATGCTACAGGGAGTGTTTAATTCCCAAACTAACATGATTCCGACATTATTTTCTCATCTAACGTATTTTCTACAGTAATCACCTACCCTAAGATATCTCGGCGTCTTTGGGCTAAAATTTTCATACATGGATTACTCGGCGTCTTTAGTTAATTTTTTTTCTGCTTACTGTGCATTTTTGGAGATTTTACCAAAAAAATACATTTTCCTTAAATATTTACGTTTCAGACACTCTTTGAGATAATATTCTCGATCTAACACCCTTTGCAGAAAGGCGCAGCCCATGCACCGCGCCTTACGTTGATATGGCGACATGTGGGATAAGGTGTGGCCCACGTTAGGACAGAATAAATACCGAAGGCGCGGCCCATGCACCTTCCATCACACCGACCCAACTGATTGTTCACACCATCCATCTCATCCTATAAATACCCCACTCTCAACTATTTTCACCACACCAAATCCTCTCAAAAACCAAACCTCGTTCAAAATTTATTTATAAGGTATATTTTATTATATTTAATATTTTGTTAGTATTTTATTTAATTATTGTATTATTTTATTATTTAATTATTTTATTTAAATATGTTATTTTTTGCAGTTATAAAATGGAAAGCGGTTTACTTTGTTTGGATGTAAATCTGTATAAGTTAAGGGAAACAATGATGTTGGATATCTGTACTGAAGCGACGACATTCTTCTAGTTGAGAAGATTGTTATAAATGTTTACGGGTTGAGAGCGTATTTATAGCCAAGAGAAAAGTTTAAAAGCCGAGAAATACAGATATAATTATTCAATGCGCGAACCATGCATCGCGCCTATCTGGTACGTGTGTCAGACGACAGTAAGACGCGACCCACATGGCACCACATCAGCGTAAGGCGCGGTGCATAAGTCGTGCCTTTCTGCAAAGGGTGTTAGATCGGGAATATTATCTTAAAGGGTGTATGAAACGTAAATATTTAAGGAAAATGTGATTTTTTTGATAAAATCTCCAAAATCACAGAAAAAATTAACTAAAACTTCGAGTAATTCATGTATAAAAATTTTAACTCAAAGACATTAAGATATTCGGTAGTTTTTAAATAATTACGGTAAAAAATACGTTAGATGAAAAAATTATATTTAAAGCAAGTTATGAAATTAAACACTCCTTGTAGCGGCACTTTTGCCTAACTTGTCGTGCCAAAAACAATAACCTCAGTTTCGCTTTCCTTGTCTGAAACTGGACCCTACGAAATTATTAAGAACCTACCAGTTGCAATGACAAAAAGGCCAAAATTATTGCCTGAAGACTTCCACGCGTCAAGATCCTACTGTTTCAAACCAAATCGAATCATCCACAACCAAATATCACAACTTGATAATTCAAGGGACTAAAACGATAATTCCACCCTTGGGAAAACTTCTATAAGTTACAACCTTTAGCATTGAATCCCAGAAAGAAAAAAGCTTGAATCTCCTGCCATTGTAGATAACAGGAAAAAGGGTCTTTTTTTTCCTCATTTGTTTTTGTTAATTTTCGTTGTAAAATAGTGAAAAAATCCCTTTGGGGAATGCAGAGAGATGAGAAGTTCATCGTTGACACGGCCTGAGCTTTGCGGCAACCGTAAACGATCCATTGGCGGCCGGAATTGTCACCGGAAACACGTCGAAGACGGATGATCCATTCATCGGTCATCCAGTCATAGTTTCTCTTCTCTTCTTTTAATTTTCCATTTCTTTATGTTCATCTCTCGTGTTGTAAATATAGAGTAAATTCAGTTCAAAGGGTGTATTTTCTTTAAAAAAAATTCCTCGAGCTTATAAGTTACAAAAATGGCGGATAATGGTACTAAGAACGAAAATCCATCTTTGCTTCATGGGAAATACGAGCTCGGTCGTGTATTGGGTCAAGGAACCTTTGCCAAAGTCTACCATGCAAAGAATCTCCAAACGGGAAAGAATGTCGCCATGAAAGTCATCGGCAAAGAGAAAGTGATCAAAGTCGGGATGATAGACCAGATCAAGCGGGAGATTTCCGTCATGAAAATGGTGAAACACCCAAATATCGTGGAATTACACGAAGTTATGGCGAGCAAGTCCAAGATTTACATCGCAATGGAGCTCGTCCGCGGCGGCGAATTGTTCTCGAAAGTAGCCAAGGGTCGTCTCAAAGAAGACGCGGCCAGAGTTTACTTCCAACAGCTTGTTTCCGCCGTCGATTTCTGCCACAGCCGTGGCGTTTACCACCGTGATTTGAAGCCGGAGAACCTGCTCTTGGACGAAGATGGCAACTTGAAGGTCACCGATTTCGGACTTAGCGCTTTCTCGGAACACTTGAAACAAGACGGCTTGTTACACACGACGTGCGGAACGCCGGCGTATGTGGCACCGGAGGTCATCGGAAAAAAAGGATACGACGGAGCCAAGGCGGATCTTTGGTCTTGTGGGGTAATTTTATACGTTCTTCTCGCCGGATTTTTACCGTTTCAAGATGATAACATTGTGGCAATGTATAGAAAGATTTACAGAGGTGATTTCAAGTGCCCGCCATGGTTTTCGCCCGAAGCACGTAGGTTAATCACCAAGCTTTTAGACCCGAACCCGAATACACGAATCAAGATCTCGAAGATCATGGACTCGTCTTGGTTCAAAAAATCCATCCCCAAGACAATAACAACAAAACAAGAGCTTGAATTCGAAGCTTTCAACGGAGACAAATCATCCAAGCCCGAGACTTTGAACGCATTCCACATCATATCATTGTCGGAAGGCTTCGATCTGTCGCCGTTGTTCGAAGAGAAAAAAAGAGAAGAAAAGGAAGAAATGAGATTCGCCACCACAAGGCCGGCGAGCAGCGTGATATTGAGGCTCGAAGAGGTGGCAAAATCGGGGAAGTTTAGCATCAAGAAGAGCGAGTCAAGGGTGCGGTTACAGGGTCAAGAATACGGAAGGAAAGGGAAACTAGCCATCGCCGCCGACATATTCTCGGTGACGCCGTCATTTTCGGTGGTGGAAGTTAAGAAAGACAACGGAGATACCTTCGAGTACAATCAGTTTTGCAGTAAAGAGCTGCGACCGGCACTTAAAGACATCGTGTGGACATCGCCGACCGAGAACACGACCGTTGCTTGATGATAATGTTGTTCTTTGTAATTTTCTTTTAATGTCGTGATTGTTTAAAACTTTGTTATTGTTGTTGGATCCATTGTATGTTGTTGATGTTTGTGTTGTTGATATGTTGAGTGCCAGTGGACTGCTTTAGTGACGATTTATCTTTGTCAGCAATCCTCTTCTTTCTTTCTCTTTTCAATTATAGTGATATACTGATATTTGGAATCAATAGTTAGTCATACTATAAGCCACGCAGATTATTGCTTTTTAATGAAGGGGGAGAGTTTGCTATTTTGGTATTGCAATTTGGATAACATACCTTAAATAATACTTTTATATAGTATTTATTCAAAAATAAATTTTATGGAACGTTCACATCTTTAATAATTATGATGCTCGATTTCAAGATTTCAGGATTTCAATGAATAACAATAATTCATTTACCACCGATGTCATTTGGTTCGTACAAAGATTCTAAATTTCTGGAAAATTATTTTAATGTAAGACATATTTTTGTTGTTTTACGATTATATAGTTATTCTTATCGGGTAATAAATATATAAAAGTTGAACCGAGAAAATATATATTCGTATTTGAAGAGTTATATTTTGATTGAATAATGTCCTTTGGATCCTCGACCGCGTTTATTTACCGCTTTCTAGGGGCTTCAATTTTGATATTACACTCAATTATTGTACTACAATTCCAGTAGTTGTTGGTGTGGTGTGTTAATAAGCAGCAAGGTACGTAGATGAGTTAATTAGGCTTCAAGACTCGGGTTTTATGCAAGACAAGCGTCAGCCCAAGTACATGGGAGTTTTGACTTCAACAAACAATCCGGTAACTTTGATTCATCATATCCACAACTAATCAACTTAACTGCTTGAGGTCACGTGAGATTGAACTTTCAATGAGCTGTAATCTGCGTAATCTTGTAAAAGAAGATGCGTTTTGT